AAATAAAAAAAAAAAAAAAAAAAAAAAAAAACAAAACTACATTTATTGTGAATAAATGAGGAAGCATTCAAAAATTTTTTATTAAAAAACAATCAACTTTTCAAAATGTCATCATTATGGGAAAAAAGCTTTGACAGATGATTAATTGAATTTTTTTTATAGAGCAAAAAATAGAATATATGATTATAAAATTTATCAAATTAGGCCCTTCACTCAATATTTTGTTTTCAAAAATGAACAAATGATCACTACTTTTATGTAACCATTACTTACATTGCATGTAATATCTGTTTAGACTATTAAAAAGTTGTACTAAAATCCAAAAAAACTTCAATATTTAGCTTTCCTTCCTTTTTCTCTCTTTATTTCACTTAACATAAAGTGCAAACAAACAAGTCTTTCCAAAAAAAAAAAAGTTCAAATAAAAAAGGAGCAGAACCTCAATTAAAGATAATAAATCTCTCATGCAAATTTCAACTAAAACGAGCCAAAACTTTAATGATTTCATGATAAACAATAAGCAAATAACCTTGAAAAAGATTATTGTTTAAAATAAACTTTGTTCTTATCTTTTTATCATGTTGATTCTTATCATAAATGGCAAGATTTTGAAAAGAAACTTTAATGATTTCACAGTGAACAATAAGTGACTTTGGAAAATGCAATTGCAAAATTCCAGGTGGATTATTTGCTGCCACCATTTTAATAACTTCCATTCGATTGACTCGATAACTTACGATAAGAAATGTCATATTTCATGCTTTGATATTGTGCCAAAAATTTTAAATTGAAAATGAAAGAACTGAAATTTATTCATAAAACAAAAAAATGATAATACTCGTTAAATTATGTTATTATCTTGTCTTTAATTTTTCCTTTCTTTTCCGGTCTTTTTCACTACTTCTGTATTAGAATATAAAATACGCAGGACACTGAAACATGCTCTGTATACAAATGTTGTGGATATTTGCAGTGTAACCCTTGAAGATAACAGTGATTCAGCAAAATTTACCAAAATTCATCCTAAAATTCGCATCCAAAATGATTCCTGATGGATTCTTCGAGTAATAGCTGTTATTATATGCTTGTTTTTCATCAGAGACTTATAATGCTTATCTTCAAATTATTTCATTTCTAGTGGCACTGACTGCTATGAATCTTTAACATGTTGAAAAATTGGATACAGATTCTTCTTCGTCTTTTTTTAATCAACTTGAAGCATGATCTATGTTGGATTTCTGCTACGCTTATAAGGATTCTTTATTTTTAATAATTCGAAGTTCATTTTACGGGATGCTAATTACTTCCTACCATAAATAGTTTTTTTTTTTTTAAATGATTTTCCCTTTGTTAAACATTAAATTTTATTAGCCAAGTAATATTAATGTTTACATTTATATGGTTTAAATTTATGTTATTTAACGAGTGAAAAACCACTTAAAAGACTGATTACAAGGATAAATGTGATCTCTTGACTCTCTTTTATATATATATCCTTGATTATCATATTATTAAACTAAACAGATTTAATAATCATTATGAATGGATATTATTAACCTAATATACGGTTGTTGTTGTAATGAGATGAGAGAGTAATTATTGGGATAATTAGATTATTGCTTATATTACTTGGTTAATACTTCGTAAACTTATGTTCTAACATTTTAATTATAAATTTATTGAGTCAATTAATAATGATAATTTTCTCAAAAGGAAAAATTGAAAAACGTTATATATCTTGGTTCTCAACAACCAGAGAGCTTTGCATTTGTAAAAATTTACACTTCTTGACTTTTCGGTGAATTATTTTTTTTCTTTTTTTGAGGAAATTAATTCAAATTTTTTATGAATTGTTCTTTAATTAGGGCATCCAGAAAGCCATTTATATGCTTTACTTTATAAAAAATTTATTTGTGAAAGAAATCCTTGGTGGAATAATCATATCGAGAAAGGAAAAAAGTTCATTCCTATTATCCAATTCTTCATATTAGGGGTCACAGTGGACATGGATACCCACTTCCAAGTTTATTTAATCATATTAAGTTGTTTTCATATTGTATGCGTTAACAATCTAAAGCTATCAAATAATTTTAAATTTTAGCAATTATATATTCCATGATTAGGACAATATATTCCTGATTTTTATTGTAAATGATCGGATGATTTGATTTTGAAACTTCTACTTTGACAATAAAACCGTGATCATAGATAACATTTATATTACAGGTAACTTGATTGACAATACAAATATGACGAATTTGTTGAATAGAAAGAACAGGAATAAACCATTTATCAAGCAATATCTCTACAAAGTAAGAAAATAATGAAAGATGATAATGAGGCACTTAATAGTATCACATCAAAATTTAGAGTACATATAATTGCATGATAAAATCTACGTGAAAAATTTTTCAGCCAATTACTTTTAGTTATATGTGTAAGTAATCTTGCAAATAAAAGTCTCAACGTTTATTTCCGGAATACAAGCCTGAATATAACGCTTGTCAACGTATATGTTAATAGAGCAAGCGTTCGCAAATAACCAACAAGCTTAAGTGCACTGAATAAACTACAGATAGAGTGTGGGCAAATCCCAAGGTGGGCCTTATATTTGGATCAAACATACCTTGGATATTTTAACAGGCTATTCGGACAGCTGCATTTTGAACTCTCTGCTGTCATTTTTATCTATCTTCCTCCTTACTTTAACTTATTCATTCTTTCTTCACGCATGCATCCATTCACTATCATTGTTATTTTATTCTTCTCTGTCACCTATTATATGCATGTTTGTGCCCGAACTTCAGGTAATAAATGTTTCAGTGTGCCAAATTATTAAGTCTCTCTTGATCTCAGAAGTCATTCTACGGAATTATCAAATAACGAAAGATAAAATAACGAGGTCCAGCGTTTTTCCAAAAAATTATTTCAAGAAAGAAGTCTTTTACAATAAGTTAAGTTAACAAAACATATACTAAAAACAGGATATCAAAACCACTTAAATTTTACACGTCGATAGAATTATTTTGTCGTTTTTGCAAGAATTAATGCTCTTACTTTTTCGTTTATGATACCGGAATGTAAGTTAGTGACAAGCTCAATTCGAACTTTTTCAAGATCTCTTAGAAAGCTGATGAAATTGAAACTGAAATGAGGATATGCTTATTGTTTCTGAAAATTGAAAAACATCTGCTTTTCATTTTATCTTAACAAAAGAAAAAATAAACAATATTTTTGAAGGAAAAGTCAGGAAATGAGGGAATTAGTTCACAAAGTTTTCCCATTCTCTTTTCTCTTCCGGTTAATTACAAAAAACATGAAGAAAAGAAAGTTTTTGAAAGTAATTTGATCGAATTTTAATATCTTACGAGATAAATTCCATAGAGCAAAATTATAAACAATATCTGGAAAATATATTAGGTAGAAAAAATTTTATCAAAGTAAGTTATACACAGTATTTTGTCACTAAATTAACTTGATAAAAATGAATGATGACCTCCGCGTACACTATCAGAATTTGCAGATGGATGGGAATGCAGTGATAGTAGTTTGCATGGAAAACGAACAAATGAAGCAGGTAAAGCAATTCACTTCATACGATCACATCTTGGTCTCATGCGGTTTGGTAAACGTAATGCAGCACAATATGGTATTATCCGGTTCAATAAACGGATTGATCTGGATCACTTAACGCAACAAAATGATGAAGGCAATAGCATTGATAGCGATAATGGTTACCGTAATTCCTACATTAAAGCATATCCTTTTGGTTATTAATAAATCTTTTGAAAATATGGGAAATAACAAATTCATGTGTGAATAAAGATCAGAAATTGTTAGTAATAGCAAAAATTTGATTTTTGTTTCATCAAACTTTCCCAATAAAATGTTTGATGTCAAAGAGATGCGCAATTATAAACCGGAATGATTAGGTTGAATAGTAATTACTCGTTGCCTGCCTAATATTTCGTGAAGCTTATACAATACACAGCTTGCACACGTTAGCATGTACAATGCGCAGAATATCTATTTTTTAATTATCAAGCATCATCTAAGTAAGAATTATGGTAACAAATGAGAAGGTTATCGTAAAACTGGAAAGCAACTGCGAAGAAAATATTATCATCCGTGAATTCTAGTAAAAAGAACTAGAATTTGCAACTTCCATGGATAAAATGCAATGATATACTCTTATTAAAAATAAAAACAATTCAGTCCCAACTTGCATCGCCGCCGTACGTTTTGTTTTATTTTCATCAAACTTCATTCGGTACCACAAACTTTATCAAATTCAATATTCCAGTATCAATTGTGTAGGCATATTATCAATGAATAATTTTTTAATGGTTCATTTCGCTTTATTTCGTATATTTAACGCTTCAGGATTATCAGTTAGAACAATAAACAAATTCTATCCGATATAATACAAACACATGATTTGGTTTGTCGAAAAGCAACAACAAAAACGTGAAATAAATTAAGCTCTCACCTCATTCCTATCAGCAAAGTACGACGGTATGGAACGATTATTTCACACCTTTATTAAATTCGAATTTTTTTAAATTTGCTATTACGTACAATACCGCAAGAATAGCCCAATGTCCAATTGCCGGTTTCATCATTCCGAGATTTATTAGTTTTCCTACTTGTCATTTCATTCTATTCTCCCTTAATTTTTTTCAGACATAATTATTATTTTTCAACAATTGTTCATTTTCAGATTATATCATTCTTTATTTCCCCATTCTTTGAGGAATGATAAAAACAATGTGTTGTTGATTATTGGAAATTTGAAAAAATCAAAAATCAATTCACAATTCGGACATTTTTTTCTGTTTTTTCCATTCAAAAATAACGCAAAATATTTCTGCGGAAAAAGTCATGGCAGATATTTGCTTCCCTCTGTTGCTGTACAATTTAACTTTTTGATTTCTTTTAATAAATGATGACGTTTGCTAGCAATTTTCCTTACTGGTGCCAAAACTTGTTTGTAATTAAACGAATTTTACATTATTACCCATTCCTTATTAATAATACCATCATTGCAGTTTTATTATGCCATAATGTATGTTCTTTATGTTCACAGTAACGATAGGAAGGATTTTATTTGGGATTTATATCGAAAAAAACTGAAAATTAAAACTATAATTTTGTCACCATTACTATTACTAGTATTAGTGCTAGCACCACCATTATTGCTATTACCATTGTTGGTTATTACTATTATTATTATTACTATTATTATTAATAATAATATTATTATTAATAATATTATTAACATTACTATTGTTATTTTATTATTATTATTATTATTATTATTATTATTATTGTTACTGTTATTATTATTATTAATTTGTTATTATTATTAATTTGTTATTATTGTTATTATTATTACTATTATTATTATTATTATTATTATTATTATTATTATTATTATTATTAATTATTTTTATTATTAATCTTCCTACTTTCTTTGTTATGGTGACATAGGGTATCTAATGTTCTGCATGAATCTTTATGCATTTATTTTCTTTTTGTAACCGTCTCATGGTAATTTTTAACTTGACTAAGCGGGTAAGTTGCGTTTCAGTCATAAGCTAAGAAAATTATTTCCTAACCATACTCTCAAATCTAGATAATGGAATATAAAATTAAATTAAATCACTTGCAAGCAGTTAACAACTAACTGGTGTAGAATACAACGACTAAACAAAAGATCCCAGTTTAGGTTAGGCAGTTTAGACAATATTTGCAAAAATTTGCAAATTTTTTTTCTTTTACATTTGAAATATTTAATAGTATCTAACTTTCCGTATGATACTTTCCTCTGTCAAATCTGCTATGTCCAGTTCGCTTGCCAAGAAAATGTGCTCATCCTTTGTGATACAGAAACGATTTGGTCTCAGGCTACCAGAACTACTCTAACATAACGTCCATTCGAAAATATCATTAACGCTATAATATTTTTTCTTACTGAAGGATCGATGGGTCAAAAATATAACCAAATGACAGTTCATTTTATTTTTCAATGAATTTAGGGTATTGAAATGATTATAAACTAATGCAGTCCTTTAAAAAATAGAGAGTGCACCTGGTCCATCCCATGGCTCAATGAGCGTTGCGGCCTATCACTAAAATGCCCTTCTTTCCGGAGCCATTTCCTATCAAAAACAATTATTTAAAATTTACTCTCATTTCACTTAAATTAGTCATAATTTCAGTTTGTATGTTGGATTGATTTGATTATCGGTGAAAAATTCGCCCACAGATAAAATGAAAGGGAAATTTCTTAAAATGAATGTTGCTACGCTTTTGAGCCATTCCGGTGTGAAAGCTTTCTGTCCTAGTCCACTTGACCAGGACATCTAGAACAGTAGCAAGTTGGAGAAGATTGTATAAAGTCAAAATATGACAGTCGAAAGCTTCAATTCCCAGACCTCATTTACCAAATTTACCAATTACCAGAGACAGAGGGCAGTTTTTAAGAGCAATTTTTAATGAGAAGGAAATGATTTAAAAAATGCATTTCTTTATAGTTGTTATCACTGGACAAATTATCACGACAGAATGTTACGGAGCATTAGACATTTCTAGACCACGTGATTTCTGATCCGAATTCATCGAAGCCCACTCAAAGTAATTCCAGTGATACTGTGAATGTATTCTGGACATTGTCATTAAGACTATTTTACGGAGCGCTTTCTCACTAATCAATCCCTTATTCAATGAAAATAGAACTTAAAAGGAAATGAAATAAATGCTAAAAGTCTAATATCTCAATTTCTTTTGAGGACTTTTATTTATTCGATTCAAAAAGTGAAATGAACCAACAGAACCAGTAAAAATTTTAGTTGTTCAGCTTCTTTCAAAATTACCTCATCGTTTTCTCAAATTTCTGGAACCACTGTAATGGTAGATTCTGGCAAGAAACGATTACTAGAGTTCATCAAAAATTCCAACACATTATCAAAACATGCCGAATCTGATATATTACGTCCGACACCGCATATCTGAAGAATTGAAATCATTGGACAGTGCGAAAAAGACATTGTTGAAACCTGTCAAGAAGTTTGGTATGATGGACTTCATTTGCTTTCTCTAACATCATTCTGATGTCTTCGTCTTAGCATTCTTACCTAATGTAGTATAGCGTTTGCCACTCATCTTTCAGATATTTATTACAAAAATAAAGAAATTATACTTTCTGGAGATTTCGCGGGCATGCATAAAATTGATATTTCCATGTAGCGTATTAATTTCATCATTATAAGTAAGCATACTGTATTTGCAAAGTATATTGATCAAGATATATTATCAGCATCAAAGAGATTGAATTAACTAAGATCCAAAATATGTTTTAAATTTTAAAATGTTCTCAATGACAGCAAGGAGCGCTGAATCTCAGTATTTGGAAGAGAAAGGATCTTGAATAATTGTATTTGGTAAGTGATTTGTACGCATTTTTTTGTTTTCATTTTAAGCATTAATTAATGGACTTTGCAGCATGAAGGAAATGTATCGGTTAAAAAGCGATTATGGACCATTGCCATGTGTAATACATATTCCGGATTTGTCAAATCAGAATAATACTGATATAGCTGATTCGGTGTAAATTCCCCCTGAAATTATGATAAAAGAAAAGAAGTATATTAATCATCATAGTCTCTGATCGTACGGTGTCTCAAACAGTGTTTCTGAATTTGGGTTATGGGAGCTTTTGTTAAGCTAGAACGTACAAGGAATTTTTTATAATTTATCGTAGAATTTTTTGAATCAGTCATCTAAATAAAATATTAACCTCTGGCTGACCTTATAGAGTGTTAAGAGATAGGATATAGCATTCAATTTTTTGTTTGGCCAATTATACTACAGCTCGTTCCCGTAACACGTAAATGTTGCACTGAAAGAGTTCCGAAGTAGCGGCGGTAGCGTACGATGCTGTAACGAATACCTAAAATAAGATTAGCTGTTTGGTAATCTGTTAAATGAAAACGGAAAACAAAGTTTTGGAAGTAAAGTTCAAGAAAACTTGGAAAAGTAAATATGTTTGAGAATGAAAAGATAGCAAAAATGGTAATTGAACATTGAACCTGTCGTATGCACGGCTCTGTTTTAAGTGCTTCAGCTCCGATTTTTTCCGGATTTGTTTATAATTTATGCCAAACAATCATTTCCAAATTGCAGCCTTTAGCCAAATCCGTGAATGCCTTAATAGCTTGTTCGTATGAATCGTTTTTGAGAAAAAAATTTTAGCAAATGTGTCGCATATTCACCAACTGAAGATAATTCTAACCCTTCTTCAGAGCTGCAATAGAACTTCTAAAATATTGAAGCACAGGAAAAGATTATCATTCTACTTACTCAGTTCCATAGACATCAATTGAAAAAGAAGTAGAAAGCCTAAACAGCTCGAAATTTAATACTTCAGCTACTTTCAGTCTTTCCGATATAGTGTATCGGATATAGCAGTCATTATTATGCCTGCAGCATCACCGGAATCATTATCGCAAGTACAACTTTCCCGATGTGTCAAACGCTGAAGCATTGTTCAGCCATCGCATAAAATTTGGAAAATGTGAAGCAGTTCTTTTAAAATTTGTTCTTAAACTGCAATTATTAAAATTGTACGTCATACGATTGTAATGCTGAGTTTGTTAATAGCGCTATTACCACCGAAATAATTCTAGAATGGTTTAAAATTTGAATTAAGTAATATCCTTTCCGCAACAAATATGAATAAGAAGAGGAAATGGAAACTAAAGTTTATTTAGAAATTT